CTGCTGTTTTATCTGCACTTAATTAATAAATTTATTATTAACGACGATTGTCGGCGCTGAAAGAGACCAAAGATTAAGGCAAGCCAGCGCTAGGGCAGGCTGTTGGATGCGCTCGCAACGTCAGCAAAAATGAATGGTGATCATGAATGAATCATATGCGCAGCAAATGAATAATCAACTGTAAAAGGGAAAAAATTCATGAGGCAGCAAAACAGACAAATCAACGTTGGAGCCAAAGACGTAGAAGGCGTTGCAGATGCAGATGAAGATGAAGATGAAGATGGATAATTGTGTTGTCTTCTTCCATGCTGCCGACAATACAGTTCCTCAAAGTTGATCTGTTTTCGTTTGGTGTTTTCTTCTACGTATGTATTTTTTCCATCCATCAACAGACTCTGGGTCTGTGTGCTCGTCTTCTATTCCCCAAACTGTCTGAGACTTGCAGTGCTTGCAAAGTATTTTCAGTCTACCCCCCTCTCAATCGCGCAATGATCGTCGTGATCTCTAGCTAGCACACACACACATACACACACACACACAAACAACGAAGCACGCACACATGCACGGAATGCAATCATACGTGAGACAGCTGCAGTGCCAGCCGCCGCAGCAGTACATGTTATGTCGTGCACTGCAACCAAGTCGATGAAGCCGCTGAAGCGGTATATTGCTGAAAAGGTCTCCCTTGATTAGTTGTTTGTTGGGCGCGTTTAGAAACGGTTTAGCTTTTGCAATTGTAGGAGTAACCCGCGTGGCTTAGAAAGCGCCCAAAGCGTACATAGGGGACTGTAAGACGCAAGCGGGTGAAATATAGCTGGCACGATGCGAAAATGGCGCGCCCAAAGCTTAGGTCTGTCGCTTTGTACTCATACAGTAGAAATAATTTAGCGGGCCTCCTTCTATTTTTGTGTAGCATTTTATGTTAATAATCGCCTATTTTCATTTCCAGATGCCATTTACTTGTCCAGCTCACGACAAATGCTCGAGCCCATACTCGAAGAAACGTCGGAGGATGAGGAGCACGCGCAAAACAGCTGGAATCAGTATGAGCAGGGCAGAGAACATTTTTGGAGCTCCACTGAATCGGAGACTGGCTCTGTCATAAGAATCGAAGTTAATAAAGGTAATAACGCCGAGTATATATTTCTTCCCAAATAATTTATAATAACTCTCTCCCTCGCTCTTTTCAGATCCCGATTCGATTTCAGAGCGCGATTTCGCCTGTCCTGCTAAGCGCGCACGTCGTTGCGACGATTTCATCATAGGCGGCCAGCTATCCACAGTCGTCCAATCGGCCACACAACAGCCTCCTCAACAGCAGCCGCCGACTTCGGGCAGCTTTGATGATACTGTGCTGTTGCGCCGCACCCAGCGCCCGTGCGACTACAATGAGGCGAACAGCAATAGCCTAGAACGCTTTCTGGCCTATGAGGCCTGCACACGCGACAGTTGGGGTCAACAATCGCAACCAGTGTTGCAGCAGCAGCAGCAACGCAACAGTACTGGCAGCCGGCGTTTCGATGAATTCTCCGATTCGGATAGCATTTCCTACCACTCACTCAGCCGTTCGTCCTCGCTGATACAATTCGAGTCGTTGGAGCGTCAGCTACAGCTGCAGGAGCAGCACGCGAGCATGTCCAGTTTGGGCAACTCATCGCCCTCATTGCTAAGCTTCGATGGCGCGCGCAGCACTGGTGCTTTGAATGGCAGCGAAGATGGCGTGCGTAGCGGCGCTAATAGTGGCAGCAACTCTGGCAACAATAGCCGTCGTGGCTCACAAATTTCGCTGCTTAAGCGCTTCGAGTCGTCCGATGGGCGACTGCATCAGACTTACTTCGATTTAGATAAGCTGAATTTTGATGATGACCAGCGCGTGCTATTCGGTGGTGCTAGCAAATCGAATTTGATGGAGGCTACTGTGGGTGAGGTGAAATCAGATTCGGAATCATCTACCAGCTCGGGCAGCTCATCAGGCAACAGTATTTTGACGGCATCGAAGCCATCAGCGGAAGATTTAACAGACTCGAGCAGCACGGCGTGCACGCGCGCCGGACGCATGATGGCATTTCAGCGCGCAGGCAAAAGTTCGGCAGAAAATCTTTCCGAAGACTCGGGCTACTGCGAGCCGTCGACACTGCGGCGCACCAAATCGAAAAGTATACCAAAAAATTTCGACAAATTCTGCGAGGAAGAAGAGGAATTCCAGCAGTATGACTACGCGTCGGAACGGCATGCGTTTGAGGACGTTGACAGTGTGACAGAAACAACACATCAACAACAACAACTGCAGCAACAACATTCCAAAAACAATATCATCAACAACAATTTAGGCGGCGATGTCGCGTGTACAAAGCATTACGTCGTCGTAGGACATGAAATATGTCAGCCAAAAATAAATGACGCCACATTCATCGTAGCAGCAGCGGCGGACGACGAAGACTACGAAACATCATTCAATGCGCGAACCACACCACCGCCACTACAAACATCTCAACGGCCAGCAGCCAGCAAGTGTGATGAAGGAGAGCATGCGGCAGCAGACGACCACGAAGGCGACGTCTATGATGTAGAGGAGGAATTCGACGGCGAGGAGCATGATGTACATACAGAAGCTATTGGTACGCGCCATGTATTGGCGTGTCCACGCTATGAACGTGTTAAAAATAGCCCAACGCGAGAGGCGACGACTACCGCCATGCTACTCGAACAGCGCCGCTCGTTGGCGCACTCGCCTTCGCCTGTGGCATCCGATGTCTCCTCATCATCAGCATCATCGTCGGGCAGCAGTTGCGGCACAACGCGATCCTCCACCTCGGCATCGACATGCGCCTCAGCCGCCTCATTCACATGGCTACCAACACCGAGACAGTTGCAACAGCAACAACACCAACTACAACTACAGCTACAATTAGAACGAACGCAGCAACGGCAATCGTCAACAACCTCCAATTCAGAGCTATTAGCAGCGCAACATCAGCATCGATCGACTCTCGAGAATTTTTGTGCAAGTCTACGAAACAGTTTGCCAGATATACGCGACGCGTTAGGTACTACAACCTGCAAAACTGTTATCGAAACAGATTTTCCTGTATTTTCGGAAGAACGCACCGACAACAGCGACGCAAACGGCAACGGGCTGGAGCATTTACGGAGCGAAACGAAGACGTTGGAAAGTGAAATTAGGTGCACTGACGAACGGTCAACGGGTGGCACAACGAGTCGACCGTGCAATTTAGACGATTCGGACTTGAGTACGACATCGGCATCGCCGCGTGAAAGTCACAGTGACGAAACGGGCGAAGAATCGACGCCAGAGGCTAGAAAGCGACAACGCGTCTACAACAGTGGCAGTGGTGGTGGCGGTGGTGGTAGAGCTGTGGCCGAAAGTAGTTGTATTGGTGGTTACGTCACCGGTGGACGGCGCATTTCGAGTGTACCAAGTGAACTGAATAAATTGGGACGCAAAAAGCGTGTGAACACACGTCACAGACATTGCAAATCGTCACCGGAAGAGGATATCGCAACCGAGACTAGCCCCAGCAGCTCCAGTGTAGAAGAGGCAGAGGACGAGGACTTTTTCGACACTGCGACATCGTTGAAAATACGACGTAGTTGCAGTTGGTCAGAGCGGCGCGAACGGAATTTGCAGCGGTTCGAGGCGGCGTTCGGCAGTAGACCGCAGCGTGAGGGCGGCAGGCATTGGGCTACACAATCGTTGGGTTATATGAACGCCAGCTATCAGGATTTAACGCAATTGGATTATTCGCGGAAACAACTGGAAGGAGATTTGCAGCAGCGTATCAGCGCACAGTCTAATTTAAAGCGTTGCAGCGATTATTTGGCTAGTGACGGCGAACGCGACGTCGACATCAACAGCAACAGCGACAACATGGACACGCCCAAGAGCACGGCCAGCGCTGATTATGAGAATATTATTTGCAAAGGCAATTTCTTGCTCGATGAACTTTCACAAATATACGACCGCAATGCTTCGATTTTGAACGATAAACCGATTGACGGCGAAGAGCAGTTGTTGTTGTTGCCCAACGCAGCAGTAAATGTTGCGGATCGTCCCAGCTGCAGTCCGCGCCCACCACCTCGTCAGCGCAAGCACTCCAACTCGAGTTACTCGGATTTGGACAGTGTTGGCGGTAGCGCCGGTTGCGCCGACGAGCAGGTGGATTCAGCAGCGCAGCATGTGCAATTGACCATACGCAAGCCTCCCGCGCGTCAAAAGCACGCACGCAAATCGGAGGCCACTCACAGTTTAGTTAGCGACGTGCAGCTCTTTTCCATTGAGACGCCTACCACGCACACAACAACAGAGTCCTACGGCAAGACATTCGATCAAGATCCCACTAATTTGCGCACAAGTTACGCGCAGAGTTTAGAGAAATGCAATTTCGATCCCAAGGAGTTGAGCAACACTGAGTTGAATAAAACGAATGCAATACCAAAGCGGCGCTTCCACTCGCAAGCAAGCGCCACAAAGCAGCGCAACATGGTGTCTAGCACGCCCAACTTGAATGCCTACGATCCACACGCAGACGAAATGGAGGACGACATGTACGTATCAAGCGCGCACACCTCCATGCATCAGCTGCCGCAGACCACAGCGCAAAAGCCGCTGGGCATACTGCTGTCCGCAGGCTCGCGCACCTCCTTCAGCAAAGAAGTGAGCTTCTGCCCGGTCGTGTCGCAATACTCCTGGCAGGAGCAGTCCTCTGAGGAATATGCCGAACAACAGCAGCAGCTGCAGCAGGAGCGCGAGAACGCGCAGCAGGAGGAAACAGATGATGAATTGCTGGACAATGCGGACGCCACAGTCATACAAAATACGCGTGTGAATGAAATTATTGCCGCGCGCTATGCGGCTGAACTTAAGAGCGCGCTCGCCGCGGGCAATGCCACTAAGAGTGTGGCGCAAATTAGAGCGGTGCCCATTGAGAAAGTAAGAGCAATGATAATTGTAAGAGAGCGTCAAGTGGCAGCCGAAGAGCAAGACAGAGAGCGCGCACGCATGCAAGAGCAAGGCGCGCTGGAAGAGAGCGTGCTACTAGAACAGGTAGAGAGTGTAGCCGTGGCAAAAACATCGCACAAAGCCAGCGGAGACTACAGCGCTGAAACAAAGGGAGAAGCATTAAAACTCGACTCAAACGCGCCAGGCGAGGTAGCTGGCGCTGCAACTGACTACAACGAAACGGTGAACGCTGGAACAGTGAATGTGAATGTTAGTCACAAATCGACGATCATTGATGCAACAACGAATATTGTGAAAGCGGAACAAACGACGGTCGCACAAAAATCAAGTGGCGCAAATAACGAAGCAATCAAAAACGACGCCGCGTCGCAATCTAATCGGAATAGTAGTTTCAGCGAAGGTGCAAGTGGAGGCGGTGCTAGCGCTAAAGATAACGCCAGTGTTAGTATTTGTAGCGGTAATGAACAAACGCGTCCGCTCAGCATACACCTGCCGATACTGAGTGAGCCGCCCGTAAATCGCGCGCATCACATCTTGTACGCGTCTCAGCAGCTGCTCGACAATTTCGAGCGGCGCCAAAGTGAGCAATATTACTATCAAAATAACGTTAATAAGAGTGAAAGTGAGGTAGGGGGCAGCGTAACAGATAGGCGTACTAAAAGTGTTGGTAATTTGAGTGTTGCGCAAACGACGCGCTACAAAATGTCTAACGCCACAGTGGGTGCGGGTGTGGGTGGCCAAAGTGGCAGCGCTGCTACAGCGGCAGCAAACAATAACAATGAGCTATTGAATAGGAAATTCAAGGATGAAAAACATCCCAGTTCGAAGGGCTTTCTGTCGCGTTTTGCGCATGGCTTGCGCTTCTCCTTGAGGCGCAAGAACAAAAAACAATTGCAGCAGCAGCAACAACAGCAACAGCAAAAAGAGTGGCAGGAGCAGCAGAGCGGTGAGCAAAATGGGGTGGATAAATCTACGATGCGTAAAAGTTTCGGTAAGTCGGCAACACTGCCACAACAACAACAGCGACAAGCAATTGCACAACAGTTGCCGTCGTCCTCATCTACAACAAATAAAACTAAGCGCGCGTCCGCTCAGAGTGGACCCGACTATATATACATACCGTTAAAAGGTCCTATACCACCAGCAGGTACACAACCACCACCACCACCATCGGTTATGACTGCCGCGAACGGTGGCGGCGGCGGCGGCGCCTCCGCTACACTACCGGCCAACTTTAGCCCAGCTGATGCAAAAGTTGGCGCCAAAGGCCAACAAACGCTGACAGCTACTCCAAACAAACCAAACAACAGCACCACCAACAATAACAACACGAACAACAACTCTACTATCAACTCGAACCGCAGCGGCAGCGACATGAGTGATATGCGTGCCATTACCGATAAAAATGGTGAGCCGCTCGTTACCGGCAAGCCGCCGAAGCCCTATCGTTACGGCACCGTACCGGCCACCACCTCAAGCACGACTATTATAACCAAATACTTTGGCAGTGGCCGGCGACAGGGCGGTGGCGGTGTGCCGGCACATGCGCACAAGGATGGCACGGGTACATCAAATGCAGCCAACTTCAAGTCGCGTAGCCAATTCTACACTGATTTTCTCGATGCCGAACGTTCGTACTATGCTGATGAAGAAATCGAAAAACAGTTAGATGCGGGCTTGCAAGCGAACGGCAACACCGCTGTCACATCAACGCCAATAAACGTGCACGCGTCCGCTAACGTGCTCAAAGATACGAACGTAGTAGTAACGCCGCAACAACAAGATAGCGTACGCGAAACAAATAATTCTAGTGTACCGGTTAGTGTTGCAGCAGCAGCAGCAGCAGCACGCGAATATAGTGTGGAGTACGAAACTCCTTCGACAGCACAAGAGACGGCTCAAAGCGGTTATTCCTTGCCGGGTGTAGCACGCGAAACCGTTATGCTATTAACAACCGGTGGTTCCCCCGGTGGTGTCGCTGCCGCTAGCAGCGATGGGAACGCGCGCGTCGTTGCGCCCACCTATACAACCATGTCGAATGCGTATTTGCAGCACACCAATAATAACAACAAAATCGGGTTGATCGAAACGAATTTGGATACGCATGAAACGGTTATATCGGGTAAGACGCGTTCCTTGGTGGATATCGTCGGTCCACAACAGCATCAACAACAACAATACGCTCTTGTTGGCGGTCGGGGCGTCGGTGCCATCGGTGGCGGCGTGCCAAAACGGTTGAATATGAGCGCGGCGTGTGGTGACGATGCGGATTATTTTGAAGGCGATTTGGATGAGGATGATGTACGTGTGTATGGTGTGCACGATGTTGGTGGCCGCGGTGGTGCTGTTGTCATCAAATCAACAACGGCGAATGGTAGTCAAATTGCGTCGGTGCGTCGACCGCACAAAAGCATGGAGTTCCTGTTGGATAAGGAGAATCAGAAGAATGTTTTGGTAAGTGGAATTATTTTTGCCTTTTTTGATTTAGTATTACGTATTATTTTTTTGACCGTCTGTTTGTAGTCTTAAGACCCGATTTCATTGAAACATAGTTTTGTTAAACCTTATGGCAAATATTGCGACTTTAATCTGCAGGGTAAAGAAAGTTCTTATTTTTGTTGTTGTTGCTTTTTTGTGGTTTCTTTTATTGTTTTAATTAAACATTTTTTTTTGGTCTCTCCTTTGTTTGATGGACAGCAGCAAAGGCTTTTCTTACGAGAATGCCAAAAAATACTAGAAATTATCTACAATTTTTCGGCCTTTTAAGTTTCTTTGCCGAAACCATTTAGATAATTTTTTTATAAAAAAAAAAAATAGCTTAAAAATAAAACAGAAAATGTTCTAATTTTTCCATCTAAAAAAAACTTGTTTCTCTTTAAATTTCAGAAAAAAAAAAATTATTGGAAGAGAATTGTCTAAATATTTTTCCGTGCGCTCAGCCTTACAAACTTTGACTTCCTAAATTGTTTTGTTTTTGTTTTATATTTTTGGCGTTCGTTTGATAAAAATCTGTACTATGTTAAATCTACTTTTTAGATTCAAATTTTACTGCAAATTTAGCTTTTAAAAATTAAAATCTATTTCTATTTTTTTAATTAAAAAAGTTACTAATTTTGTAAGAGGATAGTTTCAATAAATAAAAATTAGGAAAACGTATTTTATAGTTTTTGAAATTCAAACAAAGAAAAAAAGAGGAAGAGGGTTATTTAAAATATTTTTGGGCGAAGAAACCATTTTGCAAATTTTTTTATATTTTTGGCATTCATTTGAAAATTCTTTTTACGGACTTTCCATACATTCCAATAGTTTTATATCCAAAACTAAAAAATTTTTGTGCTTCAAATATTTGCAAAACACTTTCGCTATAAATTTTTAATTATTTTTTATGTAACTTTGGGTCAAAAGACCCGCGCCTTATATTTTAATAACAGGTGCAGGCTAGTAAATTTTTCCGCTTCGAAATTTTAAAGGACTTTTTAACTCTCTATCCGCCGCTTTTAAAAATAATTCGATGTTTTTTTCTAGACAAATGGCCAAAAATACCATTTTTTTTAATTTTCTAAAGGATTAAGCGGCCTTAAAATGGGTCACAAAGACCCTCTGTATATCTCTGAGTACAAAAAGTTAAATATGTTTGAAGTTGATTTACACATTTAATAGTTTAGCTTAGACGACCCTACTGTGACTCTCAGTATGGAACATCTTTACGCCATCCTAATTTTCTCTCTTTCTTTTAGACCCCTTAAACAGAGTTTTCTCCTAAGCAGTCTAAGTTGTCGAAGGAGTGGTCCCCAGAAATTCGTGGTGGTTTCTTCGAAGCACTGTGCACTCATATAGAAGCTGATGGTTGCATTCTAAATTTTTCTCATCTCTACAAATTCTATAGCCATATACATATGTATGTCCATAGATAAATAGCAATCGCTGAAGATGAAGAACTTCTGTGTGTTACGACTGCCCTAATAATAGCAGCTTAGTCGCATAAGAAACAATAAATCAATGCTAGTAAAATTTGCAAATGAATACCTAAAATTTAGAAATAAAAAAGATGTCTAAAAATTTTGTTCCCAGCTATGAAAAATAGCCCCAATTAATGTGTCCGTGAATATAAATAAATATTATGTAAAGAGATCATCAAACTAAAAATGTCTCATCTTTTAATTACGAAAATTCACAGCTTTTCACTCCTACACAATCAGCCCACACTCCAACTCGCATCCACTTACTTTTCAAATCATTTAACCTAATCACACACATTTTTTCCGCCTTGACACGCTTGTGTGTCAAGTGGTTAGCAATAATTATCTCTACACAATAAGTAAACAAAAACAACAACTGACAACAATGTTGTAAACATGCCATACCCAACGCCTCAATCACCCCTAATCGATGATTTTTCGAATATTTAAACACTTTGCTGCAACAAAAGGGTGGATTCACTGTCAAATAAGTGGCACAAGGGTGTTCAACCCGCATGTTTGGCCGGTGGTTAACACGTAAATTTATGTGTGTATATATGTTTGCCGATATGCATGTGTACACTGTACATATATGTATGTATGTATGCCAATGTTATGTGTTTTTTGTTTGTTTGTTTGTTATGCGCGCAAGTGGATTAAGTGCTCATATTTACAAAGCCACATACATACTTACATACGAGTAGTCTGTGCAAATGCACAAAAGCCTAATAAGCCGCTTGGCAACAAACCAAATAGTCTCTGGTGCTGCACCAGCAGCTTTTTCGCCAGCCAGCCATCCACCAATCTAATGCTCATCATCATTTGGCAAGTGCATTGTTGCGCATTTTGTGCCCAGCTCAGCGGTCGGTCGGTCCCTGTGCTCCCATAAATTTCTTTGGCTTGAGCTGAATTGATTGTTTCTTGCGCCGGAATAGATTTTGCCCAAGTTACATGAATGGTTTTTGCAAATAACATTTGGTAAACGGATATGTGCATAAATATGTACGTAACTGGTGCTTACAAGCGGCTGAAATTTGTTTTTTTTTTTGTGCCTAACCTGGAAATTTGTTTTCTACAATATTTTTTTTTTTTTTGTACTTTTTAGCCCGCAATGGCCATTCCTTTCGGTGATGCTTTTATTGCGCATAGAGTGCTGCGAAAAAGCCCTTCCAACAATTTTTATTACTTTTCCACTCAACAGCCATTTTCCGAGCAAGTTTTGCCCAAGCATAAATTCCCTTGAAATTCGTTCTTCACTCGCCATTTCTGGAGGTACAACTCAGAGACCCAAAGACTCTACAGGTATAGGTAAAAATAAGCAACTTGAAAGCCTAGAAGTAGCAATATGTACCGAGTTTTTGAAAGATAGGTAACGTTCAACAACTGTTTAGAGAATTTTAGTGAGATAAATTTAATGTGGCGACTATGAAAATCCTCTTTGGTTATTATTCTTGGTACCAATTCGATTAATTGTTGTGTTTTATTGCCTACTTATAGGCCGTACGATACCTAATACTAATGTTGCATATTTGTTTTCCAACCCACAGTGCGAACAGTCATTTTCGAGGGTAAAATAAACGAGATACAAGTACATACTATACCCACATTTATAGTAAAAAACTTCAGTATTATTTTCATATTCAGTTGATTTTTTATGGCTCTTCAGTTTTAAATAAATAGTTTACCTGGGCATTTTTTTTGTTCTAAAATCCTTAAAGCTCAGTTAGTCAACGACGCAGCGTAAACGTGGGTTGACGTACGTAGCAGCATATAAAATTTACTGTTGATAGAGAGAGAGAGAAGCAACGGCAACGTCACCGCCATGCGGTGGTGAGTTTTCGTTAACACGCGAATCCCATAAGCTAGATCGTGTCTGCGTCAACCCACGTCTACACCACGTCGTTGACTGTTTGCGCTTTTAGGATAAAACTAATAAAAAATGGAACGCGATTTTTTCAATAGACTATTTGTTTGTCACGTTTTTTTTAAACTACTGAAAACATATTTTTGATATGTCGCTCAACACTAAAAATGTTGTGTTTATGGGTCATTCCATACAAAATTTGAACCTCAATATTTTTTTTTTTTGTGAAATATATTTTTTACACTCTTTATCGAAAATACAAAAACAACTATTTTTTATTTCATCATGATTCCGAAAATGAAAAAAAAAAATTCTGAAATTTTTAACTGCGAAATTGAAAAATGATACTTCTTTGTGAGTTCAAAATTTCGAAATTTTTTTCCTAGATTTTCGAACATCATGATGAAATAAAAAAAAAAGCCGTGTTATTTTTTTCGACAAAGAATGTAACAAAAATATTTCACACCAAAAATAATAAAAATTGGGGAGTAAATTTTGTATATAACAATTTTACGAAGAATATATTTATAATAAGTTCTAACCATTAACTCTCCCAAAAAAGAACTGATTTCGACTTTTTTTAAACCAAAAAAAATATATTTTGGTGGTCGAGCGTTGGTTAGAGCGTTGAAATTGAAAAATGATACCTGAATATAACCCTGAATAAATTCGCTACAAAAAAGATAATATTTTCCTAGAAACTCGCTAATAAAACTTCCTTCACTCTTTCTCTCATTTTATCTTCACTATTGTCCTTGACTAAACAGCTATCTCGTTCGTCTTATTGTTGCTCTTTTTCTTATTTTTTTATGTCATTCACGAATATTTCTTTTTATATTCGAATTCCTTTAACATTTTCACTAAAGCGTAAAAAACTCCTTCATCCACATTGCCACTGCTTATTTTTAATTAAGTTTCCTTTCATTTCTAATACAAAAGACATGCAGAATAATCAATTTTCCCATAATTCATGCAGTATTTTAATAGAGCTTCCCATTGTACGTGTTGTCCCTCTCCTTCCCTTCTGTTTTCCAATATTTCATGGACGTTTTCAACGGCAGCTCTAAGCCAGTGCCCAACAATAAATATGGCATTAATGCCGCTTGAATGGCGCCGTGACAAGTCGCATTGCTGCTGGCTGTTCAAAATGTTTTGTGCGTAACCGTTTTTAATATCTTGTTACACGTAACTTACTTAGTAAGCGAAGTGTCCTTCAGCACTTAAGTCGATTAATCTGCAATGGAAAAGAGAATATTTGTGATAAATGAAATTGATTAGGGAAAAGGAATAGGAAAAACGGAGAGCAACAATGGATATTAATAAGCTCCAATGTGGATTAATTTTTGGATGGCTTGATTTCTAACTTATATTTTAACAGAGAAATATGTCACATTCCTAGGTAAACAAAAATTGATGGCCAGTTTTTAAATCAAGCAGAAAATGTATGTCCAGTTTTTAAATTGTCCAAAAATGCATGAAATGTTTCGAACTTACAACAAAATTTACAATTTTTTACATTAGCAAAAAATATGTCCGGTTTTTAAAGTACCAAAAATTTATGTCCAGTTTTAAAATTTCTGAAAATGTGTGCCTAAGGCTTTACATACTCAATATATGGTCCAAAATTTAAGTACAGCTTTTAAAAGATCTAGAAAAACTAAGCACGGTTTTCAAATGCTTTCTCTTTTTGGTCAATTACGACAATAAACTACGGTTTTTAAATGTCCAAAAGTTTAAGTTATGTTTTTATGTGCCCAAAAATTATGTAAATTTTTTTCTTATTACCAAAACTTCACAAAGAAGTACTTACACTTTTAAATTACTAAAAATTATGTCCGACCTTTAAGTTAAAAAAAAGTATTTCGACTACTAAATTGCCACAAATTTATGTCCAGTTTCTTAAATTAGACATGTATGCTCTAAAAAGTATGTGAAAATGGCGAAAAATTTAAGTTCCATTTTTTATGCTCCTAAAATCTATGTCTAAAAAAATATGTCCACTTTTCAAATCACCAAAAATGCATGCCTTATTTTAAATGTCCAAAAAATAAAGTTCTGTTATTGAATTCCCAAAAATCTATGCCCAATTTTTTAAATGACCAAAAATTCATACGAAATTTTTAAAATTATGTAATGTATGTCCAGTCTTAAAATAACCAAACATTTATGTAATTTTTGGCTATGTCCCGTCGTTTAAACACCNTTATTTTAAATGTCCAAAAAATAAAGTTCTGTTATTGAATTCCCAAAAATGTATGCCCAATTTTTTAAATGACCAAAAATTCATACGAAATTTTTAAAATTATGTAATGTATGTCCAGTCTTAAAATAACCAAACATTTATGTCTAATTTTTGACTATGTCCCGTCGTTTAAACACTATAAAATATAGTTTTAAAATTATCAAAGATTTATTTACAGTTTATGAATTACAAAAAATTCATGTCCAGTCGTTACTTTCAACCGTTCATACATGTTATTTTAGATTTTTAAATTCTTCACTACGCCGAAATGAAACATACATACTCCTCTTAATAAATTTCCAGTATGTACATTAGGGTGCATCACTCTCCATACAAAAAAAAAAATTGGTAACGTTTTTCTATCGGAATTATAAAACTTATTATATTTTAAGACTTCCGCCGAAATAATTCAGAAAAATATTGAGATTTACATGAGCTGGACTCATTTAAGGATACCTCCGAAAATTGAGTTTATTTTATAAAAGAAAATGTTTTTTCAAAAAACTTTTTTTTCCTAAAAATTACCTCAGTTCATAGAAGCGCTTCAGCTTAAAAGATCTGCATACCATTNAATTATAAAACTTATTATATTTTAAGACTTCCGCCGAAATAATTCAGAAAAATATTGAGATTTACATGAGCTGGACTCATTTAAGGATACCTCCGAAAATTGAGTTTATTTTATAAAAGAAAATGTTTTTTCAAAAAACTTTTTTTCCTAAAAATTACCTCAGTTCATAGAAGCGCTTCAGCTTAAAAGATCTGCATACCATTTTTTTTATATTTGAGCGACAAAATCAAAACAATCAGATTTTTGGAGGTATTTTCAAAAGGGTCCAGCTGATGTAAATCTTAATACTTTTCCGAAATATTATGATTCCGTTGAAAAAACCGTTACTTTTTTTGTGGCGATGCACCCTAATGTACATATACGTTTTGGGATGCTTCTTAAAAATATCAACATCTAAATTTTGAATAGGCACCCCTTTATTTTTTCTACGCACAAAATAAAGATATCCATAACAGTTCACAAAAATGTTTAGGTGCCGCTACCAGGTTGGAAAAAATTGATTTT